CAATAGGACTTGAAAGCAAGAAAAGGCTCTCTAAGTGCCAGAAACAAGAAGGAATCTCAGCAACAGTAGAGAATGAAGCCACCAGTGCATGGCCTTCAGAGAAAATTCAGCTAATACAGCAGCTCCACTTATCTGCAGTTTCACTTTCTGCCAGTTCAGTTCCCATGGTCAACCACAGTCTGAAAATATTAAATGGGCAAAAATAACAATTTTTAGTGTTAAATTACACACGATTCTGAGTAGCTTGATGAAATCCTGAACCACCACCCCAAATGTGAATTGTACCTTTGTCCAGCATATCCCTGCTGTGGACGTTACCTGCCCGTTAGTTACTTGGTAGCCACCTTGGCTATCTAGACCATCAGGGTATCATGGTGCTTGTGTTCAAGTATCCCTTAATTTACTTAATAATGACCCCAAAGGCATTATTAAGTGTAGTGATGCTGGCAATTTGGATATGCCAAAGAGAAGCCATAAAGTGCTTCCTTTAAGTGAATATGTGGAAAGTTTTCAACTTCAGGAAAAAATATAGTAGATATAGGGTTTGGTACTGTCTGAGGGTTTAGGTATCCACTGAGGATCTTGAAACGTATCCCCATTGGAAAAGTGGGGGCTACTATATGTGGTTTAGAGGCTTTAGTGTCCCTATAGGAATAAGAGTCAAGGAACATGTTGAGGCTGTAGAAACTGGAGCAAGGCTCACTCATAAAGCCCAGAAGAAGCTTTCCTTTCCCTGACCAGATACTAGAAAAATACCTCTCACCCCTCCCAAACAAGGGAGGAAACTGTTATTCCCAGGAAATGAGAAACTGGACTGCACTGTAAGAAGCATTACCCATAACCTAGTGCAGAAACGCTAAGCCTAAAAACATATTAATAAAACTTCCCTGGATCCCAGGACCCTCCGTAGATCTCTCCCTAGAAGAAGTAACCACAAGACTACCCCATAGATACATCTCAACCCTGGGGACCACCACACTCCCTTGGGACATAACTACAGCTGCCAAAATGACCACACACACACACACACACACACACAAATATAGCACATATGCAGGAACCAACTGTCCTCAAAGATCATTAGCAGACGACAAGTGGGGACAGGAAGATTTGAGAGGGGAGTTATACCCAAGAAACTACAAGTCAAAGCACTCTGAAAACAACTTGTAAATTAATGTAGAAAGGGACAAAGGACATATTAAACAAGAGTAAAATGTTACCCAGTTAGAGCAAGTAGATTTGGAAGAAACAAATAGAATTTTTAGTAATAAAATTCATATCTGGGAAAAGAAACAGAAACAATGTAAATTAACCCTGGGAAAATCAAATTTTGGAATCTGGAATTTTAAGACTGGCTAAGAAAGTCAGATTATAAGACTAAAAGCAAATTTGAGACCTGATCTTTTGGAAATTTGATATTAACTTAATACTAATGGTCTCATTCTGCCAAAGAATCTGTAGACCAGCGGTCCTCAACCTTCATGACACCAGGGACTGGTTTCATGGAAGACCATTTTTCCATGGATGGGTGATGTCGGGGGTGGTTTTGGAATGAAACTGCTCCACTTCAGATCATCAGTTATTAGATGCTCGTAAGGAGCGCACAGTTTAGATCCCTCATATATGCAATTCACAACAGGGTTTGGGCTCCTATGAGAATATAATGCTGCTGCTGGTCTAACAGGAGGCAGGGCTCAGGTGGAAATGCTTATTCCCCGTTCACCTCCTGCTGTGCAGCCTGACTCCTAACAGGCCACGGTCCAGGGGTTGAGGACTCCTGCTGTAGACCACAACCTGCCAGTGTATCTCAAAGTATCATCCTTTAGTTTTAAGACTAGTTGTCTTTGTCCCCTTGCTGTGGTCTCACTACCAGGGAGAAAAACACAACTAATGGCATTCCCTCTTTCCATTTGTTACTTCTAAGACTTTGAGGAAATCACGTGTGGGTTTGGCTGCTTATGGGGAAGGATGGATCTCTTTGCAATAATCTGCTCAGACAGATTTTTGCAAAATGAAGTCTATGAAAGGCTTTACAGTTTAACTCTTTAGAAGAGTCTACTGTCTCTACTGTTCTTTTTCCTCTCACACACCATACAATTTGATATTCTTTGACAATATCGTCGTCATTATTTTGGTCACTAGCAATTGGATGACTTTCTTTAGACATTTGCTAACATTTGTACATAGAGATTATTATTCAGACACTTTGACAGAATGGCTTGGAATTGTTTTTCTAGTAGTGGTAATAAGCTCAACTTTAATTTTCTATAGCCCTCATGTGCCAATAGCACACATTTTTGAGATGACTAGCTATAGTTTGGGGTATGGTTTGTAGCAAGAGAATAGACATTTTTCTGCAAAAGGTAACTGGTCCCTATGGGGTTCAAACTTGTGATCTTGGCCTCATTATCACAGTTTTGTAACCATCAGACTTAATAGATACACCACATATATTTTAGTCTATAACCTTGACATCAAATGATATTTTTTAATTACCCTAGGTTTATTTCATAGATGTAATTAAAAATCACTTTGGGACATTTCTCACTTTTGTTTGATAGTAAAAGTCATAAAAGTAAAGCAGACAGCCAAAGAACCTAACTCACTTTTCATCTTCCCTGTGTTTTCTATGACAGTGAAAGTCACAAAAGTGAAGCTTGCAGGCAAAGAGCCTAACTCACTTTACGGGAGAGTGCCACGGTACCTTTTTCTTTTAGTGAGGCTATAGCAGGTCTGATGTCAGTCACTTTAGAGACCTTTAGACCTCAGTGCTCATTTACTGCTAAAATGTACCAGCTCTGCTTCTGCATTATGAAGATCATCTGTCAACACTTTGAGATATTCTCCTTTGTTATTAAGCTTGTGATGCTCTACACTGTCAGGTTTTTTGCCAATTATAGTTAAGGTACAATAGTGTATTCACCAGATCAAAGTCTCACATTGGCGGTAGAGGAATGATTTGTAAGTCTTTATTCATTTGAATTGTACAATAGAACACCTGAGGAATGCAAATAATCCCTCTGAGAACTCTGCAGGAAAGGCTGTTAAAATGACAGGGTAGGACTATTGTTATTCTGAATTGATGTGTTAGCTAAAGTAATTATTTATCTTGTTGTTTCATAACAGTTCTAGTTTTATTAGTTCTCTTGACCATATTTATGAAATAAAATATGTATGATATTTTTATATTATCCTTTTACAGGGGCTTGTTTTATTTCATTTTCATTGAATCTGTATTTGGTATGTGATCTGCTTTTTTAAAACTACATATTTGACTTTAACTTGTATAATAAAAGTATGTTACTAAACCATTGATGATAACATTTGAATATGGACTTTTGTTTGAATAGTGTAAGTCTGTGAAGTAACATAGAATACCATAATGTCATCGTAGACAGAAGTACCAATTTCAGTCCCTTCACCTTTTTTTTAACCTGTACTTCATAATTTTGGATAACAAAACATCTGGTTTGAATTTCATTTTAAAGGCAACATACTTTTTTTTTTTTTTTTTTTCCAAAATAAATCTTAGTGCTTGGTCCATTTCTTAGGATGTGAACAAAAGAAAAATACTATTATGAAGATTCAGAAACACAAATAACATAACATATTAAATAGGTAGTTTACCTTTGTATAGCAAACATATACAAACTGTTGTGTAGATTTCTTTTTTTTTCATTCCTTTCTCCATCCTAAATCTTTCTCCATGGGCCATGGTCTTAATTTTCTAATAACTCTGCTCCCTGCCATTGATGGATTTGTAATTTAGTTCTTGTTTTTCTTTTCCCCTAAAGTGGCATTTACATTAATTATTTAAAGGACTTCTGCCACAGCATTTTTCCATAATAACTATTAAAACCTTTGTCTAAATATAGCAGACTAGTGGAATTATGTAAGACTATAGCATAATTTTAATGAATATTTTAATGGAATGTACCGTCTCACACTAAACTCAGTACCAGATTCATAGGAATGTATGCTATGATTATCTGCGATGGAAAATTAATAATAGTAACTGTTAATTCTTTACTATTTGCAGGCTTTACTTTTCTGGGTTCTTTACAATATAATATGTACTATTATTATCTCTATTTTTATAAGTGAGGAAACCGAGGCTTAGAAAGGTTCAGTAATCTGCCCAGTAATAAAAAGCTGGGAAAGTGTTAGGATCTTAACCTAATTAGTACATTCACTACACTTATTTCATTTATGTTCTAATTACTACTTTGCCAAACACTCCATGCTTTGGAAAGAAAAAAAAATGACTCAATAATGTCTTTTCAGGTAACAACTAGGATCAGTTTCCTAACTGATTTGGCTTTCCAAATCCTTTGTGATTAAAGGAATTTATTTCCTCCGCAGTTGTATTATTCATGTTCTCATAAAAGTCAGGTTCATAAGAACTGCGTATGTGATCAACTATATTTATAAATCTGTATTTCTGCACATGCTTGTTTTGGCTAACGAAAATCTTCCTCAAAACCAGTGACCACTGTGAGTTCTGTTAGTCCATGAAGGAACTAAACCAGGCATATAGATATCTGGGTGGAACAAATTATTTACTTGTGAAGGGCTCTTCAGAATCAGCTGGTATTTTTAGGTATGATTCCTATACAAACAGAACTTTGTGTCTTCTCCTTTTAAAAATTTACTTTGTAAAATACGGAACACAAAAAAATTATAAAATGGAAGCTTTATTCAAGGGTACAGGTGTTAATACTGAACAATGTTAGTGTAACTAAAAAAAGTTTTTAAATATTTGTATAATAGTTCCCATAGATGATGTGCTAAAGTAAAACCAGGTTACAGTAAAATATTATGGCGTATACCTGAAGCAGTTGCTGCCTGTTAATGCCTTGACCTTGGAAAGCTATACACAAAAAGATGGCATCATAAAACCGTGCAATTCTTATGAATATGTATGTGCTACTTGATAATAATGAATGTGGTACAGTCATGCATGCACTACAAGATAATGTTGTGCCCTTTTTTGTCTACAGGTTGATAAAAATTAAAGAGTGGGTGGACAAGTATGACCCAGGTGCCTTGGTCATTCCTTTTAGTGGGGCCTTAGAACTCAAGTTGCAAGAATTGAGTGCTGAGGAGAGACAGAAGTATCTGGAAGCGAACATGACACAAAGGTTAATTAGCATTCATTTTCCCTACACTTTATTATCAACTATTTCCTTGCAGTAATTTAATTGCTTGCGCTGATAGAATAATAAATGACAGAGTAATTACCATTATAAAGAGGGAATCTTCTCCTTTCTTTACCATGAGACAGAGTGAAAAGATTTATTTTAAATTAAGTTTTTAACTGTCATCTGTCATCTCCGTACAGTGTTTTAATTATAACATAGGTATTAGTTATGTATATTTTTGAGGAGGAATGATCGCCAAAACTCTTTCGTCATGCTCAATGGGGGAGGGGAAAGGGCGAATCAGTTGCCGTAAATTTGTCTGAGTAACAGTAATATATTGTTTAAATATCAGATTTCAATCAAATTATTTTGCTTTTGTGGCCCAGTTCCTGAAAATAATTAATTTTGGATGAAAATAGTCGTAATTTTTCTTTTTTTAAACACTAAACAATTCAAAATAATATCTTCAGGCTAATACAATTAAAACCAATTTTAGAAGAGAGGTTTTTAAAAACAGTTCTTGCTTTCTGACCTCTTCAAGTATTATGAAAGATGAATGGTCATTTACTAATATCTTTAACATTTTCTGCTTGAAATGAATAATTTTAGCTCTATCCCAATTTCTAGCACAATCAACTTATATGTTGGGTGAATTTGTTTCATTTGATTTCAGTGCTTTGCCAAAGATCATTAAGGCTGGGTTTGCAGCACTCCAGCTAGAATACTTTTTCACTGCAGGCCCAGATGAAGTGCGTGCATGGACCATCAGGGTAAGATTCATACTTATTCATCAGCTATATCCAGTTCCACACTATTGAATTCAGATTGATATCACTGACTTTGAAGTTTGTCATGGTGGCGGTTAGCTAGTCATTACAGATGAGGTTTTTGTCCAGGATAACTTTAATTATTTGTGAGCTGCTGAACAGTGAAAGTGGAGCGGCATTGATTGAGGCAGGTAACAATTGATTCTGCCTATTACATAGTCTGAATTTCTTCATCCTGTAGAATCTGTCTACCCTCCTCCTGTGGTCAGAGATAAGACGCACCAGTATTGTGCTTGCTTAATCTGTGTGACTGGGTTTGTCTGCAGTGAAATTGATGTTGCTTTTCATTTTGTATTCGCTAAGTTTGTTTGGGTTGCGGGTGGTTCTTTCCTCCTTTGCTTTGCTCGGATTACATTTTCAGCAATAAAAGCAATATGACATCATTATGCTCTTCATAGATATACAGTTGGGCTCAAAAAGCTAAACTCAAAGTGTAATAATTCATGCCTTTTAAAATTTGAATTTGTAGAAATAATGTTTATTTTTAGTGTTATATGTTCAATCTTACTTCTTTAAAAATGTGATATGTATTTTAAAAATTGATGTATACTGAATGCGACCAGAGAGAATGACTAATTTATTCCCAGAGGACAATAGAAACTGAACTGTAATGGTTTGCTTTTAAATGTAAATATATTGTAACACAGTAGCTACTATTGAAAAATATTTTGAAATATATGTAATCCTAAATAGTGTGTTATAGAATATAAAAATAATGCCAGAACTTTTAGAAATGGTGTCTTATTCAGTCTTTTATTATGCTTTTTAAATATAGGCACACAATAAATTTTAGTGGTGCTTTGATTCCTGTTTTCAGTGACTACTGTAATTTATTGTTACATGTATTTTGATTTAATATGGATAGAAACATGGAGGCAGTTCAACATAATGTTAAATGCCTTGTGTGAATGTGAGATTTACTTTTATCTCCTCGCCCCTTTGTAAAAAAAATGTATGATTGACTTCTAACCAAGGTCCTTTTATATAGATTTAAAAAATAATGTCAAAGCAAATCCGAGTTGATAAACAAATTGCCAGGATTTATTTTTACTACGTATTTTAAGGATGTATTTGAAAGCCTTAAAACTTTCTACCTTAAGTATGTGGAGGTAGAAAAGATCACATGCCCTGGGCTTGAAAATGTGAAAGCTGGTTTATCTTAAGACTGATTATAAGTATTCATGATTTAATGTGCTAAGATATTTAGTCAGGTAAGCATCAGTGAGTAGCCATATTAACCCAATACATCTTTTATTGTAAAAACTGTGCTTTCTAGTGTCAGACTCCTTATCACTTTAACATGCTTTATTAAGCACCCTTTAGGTCATTGTTATTTCTCAAATTTCTTTCCATGGTTATGTGTGTGTGGAATATATATCCTTGTAATATAACATATGGGGTAATTATAAGACATTTCTTTTCCTATATCAACTTGAATTTCCTTCATGATGGTTAGAGGCAGGGAATATTGTACAAAATGTTTAAAATTTTTATTATCAAAATTTTTTGAGAGTTTCACAGTTATTTGCTGAACATAGATTTCCAACATGATTTGTTAGAAATGTCTTTAAAATGTCCCTTTGTATATTGATTTTTATATGTTCTTTAGATGAGCTGAAATTTTGAGGGCTTTTTATCTTTTTAAAACCTTTGATAATTCAGCTTGAAAGTTACTTAAAAATCTATTTTTTTTCCACTGTGAAGAATAGAAAATCGAAATGAAACCTACACCAAAACCAGACAACTGCTTCTAAATCAATAAAACTGTGGATGACTGTTAGGAAAAACAAAGCTACATTTCTTTAATATCTACTGATTTATCTGTGCTAAATCTGCTGCACGGATACTACCCAGTGTTGAAAATGTACTAATTGTATACCTGGCATCTTAACAGATATTAAACTAAGTTTTAGTTGAGCCCAACTGCGGATCAGAGAAAAGAAACTCTATGCTTAACAATCAATCATCTTAAATGCAATTAGTTTTCTCTGGTCTTTCTTTTCAAAGAAAGGGACTAAGGCTCCTCAGGCTGCAGGAAAGATCCACACAGATTTTGAAAAGGGATTCATTATGGCTGAAGTAATGAAATATGAAGATTTTAAAGAGGAAGGTTCTGAAAATGCAGTCAAGGTAAAGAATTATTTTTATTTTTGTATTTCACAATGTTTCCACTGATGTGAAGATATTCATGAAAAAAATGGATGATACTTATCTTTTAAACTGAGTGTAGTCTAAAATAAAGTAATAAGATGATCAGCATTTAGTGTTACTGTGAACTGACTTAAGAGCTTTAGACATTTACATACTTTCAGATCATTTTAAAAATGTGTGAATTGTGAGTTTCGTGGACATTTTTTCTATAATTGAAAATAAAAATAAATTAGTTTTAAGTAATTGTAAATAATTTCAAAGATTTTGTTCACTGATGGCCAATGAAAAATTATGCTTAATGATATTTGAATATCTGAAGTATAATATACATGCTTATGATTACTTCAAGAATAGAGATAGAAACTTAGTTAAATAAAAACTGTTCTTTCTAAAACTTCATGGTTTTACTTGTTTGTTGTTTAAAGATACTTGGGGATTTGATTTGCTTTCTCAACACTAGAGGGCAGGTCCAAAATTGTGCTTTCTTTTAGCTAATAAGGATAATTTGGTTTGCAGACACTAATAGTGAGGCAGTTTTATACATGAGTAGTAGATGATTTTTTAAAATGTAAATTCTGTTGCAAAATTAATTTTATTTGATTTATGAGATGTTAGAGAAATCTAGCAATCTCTAATATAGATAGATTAGCTGATTAAACTGACATTGTAGGAAGGTTCTTTAATTTAATATTTGAAGACTACCACAGTAAATGTTATGGAATTTAAAGAAGATTCTTATGTTTACTATTTCATAAGTTAAAATGAATACAGAAAAGTTTATTTCAGGTTTAGTTTATTTTCATTGGTATCATTGGAAAGGTCATACTGAACATCAGGACTTTAATAGAACTCTTGGAACACCAGGAAGAGCAGGGGGAAAATTTTGTTGCAATTGGTACAATGTTGAATGACAGCCATTTTGTTTTTTTTAAAGAGTGGTAGGAGTAGTAGTTTACAAGTAAACACACTTGTTAATTTTTCAGTGGTGACATCTGTATAGATATAGGTAGGTATGGAAATACTGAGATTGAACTGTGTCAGGAATACTAATTAGGCTTGAGCAGAAATCTCAGACTATTTGTCAATGTGCTACATCATGTTGGCATATCTATTTTTTATAAGGAATATAAAAATGAGGATATTTTCTATTACTAGAATTCAGAGATCAGATACTTCTTTTTTATACTCTTAAAATGATAAGCTTGTTTACCAATCCTTAGTAGATCTATGTTGTAATAAGCTTGATAGATGAATTGTAAATATTTCCTTTAACAATTGAGAGAATCTTTATAATAGCCAATAAAATAATATTTCCTGCTTGTAAGACTACCACTAACTGGCAGCTTTTATACTATAAATTGGAAAACGTTGACTCTGACATTTTCACCTAGGATGCCATTAAATATTTTATGTGGTTTCAACCTCCAAAACTAATATTTCAAAATTTGAAGTCCAAGTAAAGTGAAGCATTTATAAATCGCTCTATGTTTCCTTATTCAAAAATTGTTTTCTTGCAGATTATCAAGTAGGCTTTAGGTTTGAGAGCAAGATTGTGTATATGTGTATGTATGTATGTATATGTATTTCTAACACCAGTGCAGCATAACTAATTTAATGCCAGTGCTATGAACTATATACTGAATAGCTCTGTGTGGGCTTTGTAGTCTACAGGGATATCACATTATTAGCAATCATATCTGCTTAGGCAAAGCTGGCTTCTACAGATGGCTGCTTTCAAGTGCAAATGAACTGGTTAGACGTGTCTTGTTTAATACATACTCAAGATTCACAAACGGGTATTGATTTTTTTTTTCAACCAGTGTTTCTGATAGCAGTGGAAATGGATTAAATGGTCTCTAGAGAATTTAAAGGAACATTGTCACTTTTAATTAATAGTAAACTTGAGTGGTAACAAAGTATATAAACTTACATTAATATGTCATGTCAATATGTACTTGATTTAGATTGTCTATATAGTTTTATAACAGTTGGCTATAGATTCTAGAATTAAGTAGCTTATGGCCTTCAATACACTGCATGTCTTTATAAAAGTCATGTGAATATGTGTGTTTATATACATGTGTATATGTGTGTGTGTGTGTATACATGTTTGTATGCCTTTTAGCATGTAGGGTACATTGGCTTTTTTAAAATAAGCTTTATATATTCTTCATATATTTTATATTCTGTTAAAATCAGGACGGTTTTATACAGTCTAGATAATTGAAAATATGCTTACTAGGGCTCTGCAATCTGGTTTGTTGATTTTACCCTCAGTTGTATGATCTTTATTAGTGTTTTTGTTGCAGATTAGTATAATTTCACTTGGCTTTGAACATTCTTATCAATATCTTCAAAGAGAAGTACTAATCCTGTTGGGCAAATGTTTCTTCTCAATAAATTCTAACAGAAGGGAAATACCTTTGAGAATTTCTCCAAAAAGATCCTCAGGCTCTTATTGTTGAGGACTGGATGGTGGGGTCGTGTGGGACCATGTCACTGTGTGCAATGTTAAATGTGGGTGCTGCAGGGCCTGCTGTACTTAGGGTGAAGTAAAGTTCATGCCATGGACTAAACTTGGTTTTCTGGAACTGCTGCTTGTTTGTATTAAAATTACCAGCAGATTGCATGTCTGGATCTGCATACCAGCAGGTGGAATCAGTTGCTTTGCCAACTAATTTACAAGTGGAAGAAATATCTGTCTTTGCAACTGCAACCTGTTAGAGTCTCCTTGTAACTAAGGCCATTAGTTAGGAAACTTTATGATGAATTCTAGTACATACTTCTTTGTATAGACATCGTCAAGACTAAATTTTAGAAGCTACAAGGAAATAGTTCAGAATCTGTACACAATTGATCACAATTTTCCTTATACCAGCTATATTTCTGGCATCACCAGTGTCACCAAAGGATTTATTTAAGCAAATAAAGCAGCTTTTAACCAGTTATATAGTGTTATTCTTTCTGCCTGGTTTGATCTGTTTTGTTACAGTGACTTGCTGGATGTTTGCAGACACATCAGAAATGTACCATAAACAGCATGTAATGAAACTTAATGATATTGGTATAATTACATTTATGTACCAACAATTTAGTGGAGAATACATTATGATTATGTATATATGGAAAATCTAGTTCTGCCCAAATCAAGATACTTTGCTTCTCTCCAAGTCTAGTTTTGAACTTGTATGCCTTCCTATATTTCATTTTTTCTTTTTTTATATGACCCAAGTAGTGTAACACTTTTTATATCTGCTGCCACCATTTACCCTGTGTGTTTAGTTGTAAAATAATAACCCATTTCCTCTATATTTTCTGTTTGCAGGCTGCTGGAAAGTACAGACAACAAGGCAGAAATTATATTGTTGAAGATGGAGATATTATCTTCTTCAAATTTAACACACCTCAACAACCGAAGAAGAAATAAAATGTAGTTATTGCTCAGATAAACATACAATTTCCAAAAGGCATATGATTTTTTTTTAATTAAAATTTCTGAAAACCGATGGGACAAATAAAGTTGGGGAGATGGGAATCTTTGACAAACTATTTTCATTTGTTTTAACATTAAAATACTGTGTACCTCCAGTGAAATGCAAGTTCACTAAATGTGAACAGCTTTGCTTTTCACGTGATTAAGACCCTACTCCAAATTGTAGAAGCTTTTCAGGAACCATATTACTCTCATGATACTTCATTAATCTCCATCATGTATGCCAAGCCTGACACATTTGACAGTGAGGACAATGTGGCTTGCTCCTTTTTGAATCTACAGATAATGCATGTTTTACAGTACTCCAGATGTCTACACTCAATAAAACATTTGACAAAACCAGCCTTGGTGTGTTTGGGGATGTCTGTATTGACTGACTGTGGTGTGCTGAATGCGATACGGCACCTGGTGGTTGCTGATTACAGAATTTTAAGGCGTGTGTATGACACAGTAACTGGCAGTGTGGGGCAGCTGCAATTGTATCTTAAAAGTGAGTCTTTCATGGGAATCAGAAGAATAGTATTCCAGGGATTTGTCTCTAAAAATTAATTAATTTATGGATCAACATTTATTGAAAGATGATAGCAATGATATTACAAGGGATATGAGATAGGTGACTCTGACCACAAAGAAGAAAATTCAAAAATTAAGGAATTTTGTTTGTTATTGTTGTTCTGACCATACTGAAAAGAGGTTCACTTTTAATTTCTCCTTTGAAATTATTAAATTGTGAGAACTGACCCATTGATATCTGGTGGATTATGTTTGGCTTCAATTCAGCAATGTGTATAAAAGTTCATACACTGATTTTGAAATACTAAGATCAGACTTTGAAAATTTTTAAGGCCGGGCGCGGTGGCTCAAGCCTGTAATCCCAGCACTTTGAGAGGCCGAGGCGGGTGGATCACGAGGTCAAGAGATCGAGACCATGCTGGTCAACATGGTGAAACCCCGTCTCTACTAAAAATACAAAAAATTAGCTGGGCATGGTGGCGCGTACCCGTAATCCCAGCTACTCAGGAGGCTGAGGCAGGAGAATTGCCTGAACCCAGGAGGCGGAGGTTGCGGTGAGCCGAGATCGCGCCATTGTACTCCAGCCTGGGTAACAAGAGTGAAACTCCGTCTCAAAAAAAAAAAGAAAAGAAAAGAAAATTTTTAAAATTATTTTTTTCTTACCCTTCAGATATTTTAGAGCAGCTGAAGTTGTAGTATGTTTAACCTAAGCACTTCTTAATATCATAGCAGAAAATTCCAAAAGAAAGACAAGAACAGATTCATCGTTTGGAGACCCTTTGCCACTTAGCCTTCTCTTGTGATGATGGCCTTAAAGCTCTCTCAGCCCCAAGCCTCCCTTTCTCTCCCATGTTTCCCTTACTGTGAGATCTCCCTTCCTTGTCCCCATCCTCTGCCCTTTTGTGCTCTTCTGTGATCACAGGACCATCTCCATGGAATGCAGATTCATACCCAGACAGCGTTTGCCAATACTGTATCACTTTGGCACTTTAAAGATGCAGAAGTATTAAAACACACAAACTTAAAATGGAAAGTTACCAAATGTAGCACAAGAGGCAAGAAAAGGGGTGATTTTTAAAGGCAATTTGGCTATTAGGAAAGGATATTTAAAGAGGATAAGGTTGAGTCGTGAATATAATTCAGGAGCTCTCCAGTGAGTATTTTTTTTTTTTAGTATCAAATAGTGATCTTCTTTTGCTAACATAAAAATGAGTAAACTATAGCAGAGAAATAAGAATGAAACTAATGAAGGGTTTTTAAAAAGAACTAAGTAAACAAATGAAACTAGGCTACAGGTATAGCTGACCAAGTTTGCCGTGAAAAGTCCTTGTTAGATCTATTTCTGTATTGGAGTAATGTATAGATTAGTGGATTGTTAGGGATTTCAGCAGTATAAGAAAGAGTCAAATATCTTGCTCTTGAGTCTTCTCCAAAGTAAATTGCATAGACTTCATAAAGAAGTTTGAAATCTCAGTAAAAAGATATTAGTTACATTGTCTAGCTCCTCATGTGATAATTGCACATTACACAACAGAACCGTTAATAAGAGAAAGAAGTCAGTTTTGAGGTAAGTGCATCATTAGGGACTGAAATTAAATGTTAAAAATGTTTCATTTGGTTAGAAGTTCTGCAACATTGTATGTACATACACACAATTTCATTTTCTCCGAAAGTTGAGAATTCTAAGAACTGTTACATATAATCACATATATGCATAGATCTAAGTGTTTTCCCTCCTTAATATTGATAATAGTTAATATATTTTAGGATGTTATGTAAATATTTTTGCATGTATCCATAGCTCCATCTTAATCAAATTTATAGTTAAAAGAGATTTTGAGGACAAGCGTAGTGGCTCACACCTGTAATCCCAGCACTTTGGGAGGCCGAGGTGGCAGGATTGCTTGAGCACAGGAGTTTGAGACCAGCCTGGGCAATGTGATGAAACACCATCTCTACCAAAAAAAAAAAATACAAAAATTAGCTGGGCCTCATGGCACACATTTGTAGTCCCAGCTACTCAGGAGGCTGAGGTGGGAAGATAGATCGATTGCTTGAGCCCGGGAGCTAGAGGCTACTGTGAGCCATGATCATGCCACTGCACTCCAGCCTGGGCAACACAGTGAGATCCTGTCTCCAAAAAGAGAGAGAGACTTGAGAGGGCTTGTGCCCAAAGCTTGAAGAAAGTTCATGAGAGCATTTAGTTTCTTTTATCATATTACCTTCATAACTTGCAATTTGGGCATGGCTCAGGGCAGAACCAGATCTCCCAAGGAAGCACAAATAGTTTTTGTCACTAACTTAGTTATGAGTGAAGAAGCCTCTGCTCACTTTTAACCTGCCAGCTTCATTGGTGGAATAAGTCCTCTTACTCATGATTCATCAATATTCCTATATTAGAATTCCAGTTTGATGTTTGTCTCTAATTGTCTGTATATAATATTCTCAAAGCTCTTTTGTAACAACCCTGTCTCCATTCATGAATCAAGAGACAATATCTCCTCCTGCCTCTTATGTTGTTCTGATTAGTCTGCTTAAATTCATCTGATGCTCTTTTTGTTTTACCAGAGACTTAAGAAATGTTGATTGTTTCTAGTGGCAAACTATTTTAGCTGGGAAAATTCATTTCAACTTATTTTAAGCGTGTAAAAATACACTATGGTGATCAAATAAAAGCTAGATTTGACTTTTGAGTGACTTTTTTGTCTCCTAACTGGTTTGGGGCCCCTTATAAGAACTGACAGTTCTTGAATCACTTTCATGGTCTGTGACTATCCCAAACCACTTGTAAATTAGTACCTCAGTGAAAAGCCTTGCGCTGTAATGAGGAAATATAAAAAAGAAGGGATGCACGTGGCCACCCAGGCAGCAAGCTTGTCACAGACCTCAAATCACACATCTAATCTGCTTCTCGGCTCTGCAGGTCTGGGAACTGATTTTCTTCAGCTCAGAAATACTGTGTTATAACACTTTTCAAACGTCTAAGAGCCGAATTTACAAATTAAAATGGCAAGTTCTTCATACCCTGATGTATGGGTAACAGATGATGGTTAAGCCTCATCCATCCTCAGGAATCAGAAGGCCAGGATCTGTACCTGACTACCACTTCCTAGCTGTATGACCGACCTTAGTTATACAAGCTACTTTACTCAGAATCTGTTTTCTCACCCGTTAAAATGGGGATAATAGGACCACCCTCATGGGGTTTTGTGAGGGTTATATACATGGAAAATGCTAAAGCTGCCTAATACCTAGTAACTGCTCAATAAATGTTAGCAATTCTTTTAATTGGGGTGATTGCTTCTTGTGTCCACTCGAGACAAAACTATAGAATGTTGCTTTGTAAAATTAGAAGAGAGCAACATAGGTGTTCTTAAGAAAATCACTTCCAGGATCTCTCTCTAAATGGATGTGCCCGATTGAGGATACTTCTGTCTGCTTAATCAAGTGAGTTTATTATTGTTTCCTCTGTAAGGTCACAATGAAGAGATGAGCACAAATAATTATGGGTATTTCTTCTAAAGAAACATGAGAATAGGAGATAACGGTTTGCCTATTCGACATCACAGACTTCCACCAGCTCTAGAATGACCAACAGTCTTCTTAATAAACCTGAAAGGAACTGGCACAGTATCTCACACCTGTAATCCCAGCACTTTGGGAGGCCGAGGTGGGCCCAGTAGTTCAAGACCAGCCTGGTCAACATAGCAATACCCTGTCTCTACAAAAAAATGAAAAGGAAAGGAACTCAGCTATGAGTCGGGATTCTCCAATCCATCTCCCTTTAATTCCAAATGTATGCTGCTTGGATCAGAGAATGGCTTATTTGATGCCATTCCAGGAGAACCTTTCTGTATCTGCTTTCTGTATCTGTGGATTATAGAGTTGCTTTCACACTTTGGCAACTAAGTAGGAAGCAGCCTTCATAAAGTGCCTGTGTATGTGGCCTGCATCTGAAGCTCCACAGAGCCCATCAGTAAATCAGTGCATTCTGTTTCCACAAAACGTGGGAAAGACGGACAAATAGTGAGATGTCCTATTCTTCGACTGTTCTTCTTCCGGTCTTATAAATTGCTTTCTTTTTTTTTTTTTTCTGGTGAGATAACCCATTTTGGTTGCCATAGGGTACAAGGAATAGGTCACAGCTTCATCTAATTACATGATAACATATTTCCCTAGTACTCTTGATAGAGTTTTATAAACCACTCTGTGTTCAGGATCTTAATAAACTCCTATCTGTTTGAAGGGGTGATCTGCAGACTATTTGATCCTGTCTATGTTGATTTGATGCTGAGGAAAGGACATTAGAGGAGGTCCGAGGGGACGCTAGTTGTCTACCAGAACGCATTCCTAATTTGAGTAGAGTATAGCGGGGTGAGTGGCTGTCCTGCTGTAGGCTGTTTCCCAGCTTCCTTGCAGCCAGATGAAGTTCTCATCCGTGGAATAAGAACGAGTGATGCAGGCTGATTCCAGAGATAGGCCTTACACACCTGGATGCGTGCTGCCCTCACGCACTCTTCCAGAGCACTCGTCATTAATAACGCATATGAGGACAGCGCCCAGGGCACAGTGGAACAGCATGGCAGCAACTCGGATCTCTGGTTGTGGGGAGCAGAGCTACCCAGTAACTTGGCTGCTTACCTTGGGGCTGGTACATGAAAGAAAAAGGAAAATGAATTTGAGTGTTCTTTAAGCTACTGTGTTTGAGCTACCATATTTCTGTCGTAACAGCTTAGCTTTTTCCCCTAGCAAGTACATATACACGTTTTCTGTACTTGTTTCCATTATAGCTTATTTGGAGTTTATAGCTCCTGTTCTGTTACGAACAC